CCCCCAACCATCTGCCTGTATTCAGAAATTATTTACTTGTCTGTTTTTCCGAGGCTGGAAAAGTTTTTCAGGGTCTTTCTTAGAAATTTTAGAACCCTAGTAATTCCAGTTACTTAGATGATAAACTAACTCTAAATGGGCTTTTTACAGATCTTCGATGCATAAGCCTATTACTATAATGTACTCAAAGGAACGTTATTTAAATGTGTATTTTGGAAGTTCTTGCTCTTACCTTGAGTATTTTAATCTCATTAAATCGAGTTGTCTAGATTCATCTGTCCATCTCTTCTGCAAGCAAAATGATAAAATACATAAATTTTGAAGTATTGAAGAAGAGTTTATAGTAGGAATTACACAATACTGTGGAAGTGATATGTGTATTTCTGATAGTGTTTATGGATCAGCTGGGTGTGGGCCCAACTGTCTCCTGTGATTCTTGGTAAGGCAAGAATTTCTTCTGATCTGGAGAAACTTATTAACCACCATTTACAGCTTCTTTGACTGGAAAGAAACAAAGTGATTCTGTGGTATGAACAAGTGCCTGTATGGATCCAAGAAGAAATAGAAAACGTGTTATATTTAACAAGCCCTCCTTTAATTTCTAGCTGAGAAGATCACCAGGGCAAGTGTGTTTTCCAGGAGGTAAAAGGGAAGCAACTGATAAAGATGAAATAGATACTGCTCTCCGAGAAGCTAAAGAAGAAGTGGGACTCCAGCCAGAGAAGGTGGAAGTCATCTGTAGGCTTGTGCCTGGAATTGATAAAGTAAGCAGTAAACTGAGTAAGTCAGCATATCACTAGAAAATAAGATTTGGTTATTTTCTCTTGTAAGATTGATAATGACTTTTCAGACCTATAACTGCAGATGACCACTTTTTAAACTGCGCAGCCTGTGATACCGACGGAGCGAAGGGAGGAGATTCCTGCTCTGTGTTTGGTATTTGTGAGACCACATTTGGTGTACCATGGCCAGTTGTGGACACACTGGAGTACCAGAAAGACAGTGGTGGTTAACTGGTGAGAGTTTAGCAGAGAGCCACAAAGGGAGTAAGGGGGCTGTAGCACAGGGATTATGAGGAGAGGCTGAGAAGTGGGTTTGCTCAGCCCGAAGCAGAGGAAGGTAGCAGGGGATCTAGTTGCTCTCTTCAGGTACCTTCTTGGTGGTTGTAAGAAAGATGATGCCAGACTCTTCTTGAGACAATGGGCACAAGCACCAACAAGTGGAATTTTGATGAGGTGCAAGAAATACACTCTTTACCCTGAGGTTAGCCAAACACTGGAGCAGGTTTTCCTGGCAGGCTGTATAATGTCTGTTCTTGGAGATACGCAGAACTCATCCAGACAAGGCCCTCAGCAGCTTGATGGAACCTCAAAGTTTTCTCATTAAATATCCTGCTCAAAGCAGGGTTAATTCGGGCGGAAAGGGTCTTCTGGAGGCTATGTGACCTGTGATTCAGCGTGAAAATCTAGCAAGGAGACTTCTCTTCTGGAGGTGTCTTTGGAGTGTAAGTCACTGTAAATTAACAGGCAGCCAACCTCAATAACAATATTCAGTGTCACATAGGATCAGTTTTCCTATAGTACAGAGAGATTATTGTTTAAAAAATACTATTCTTCAGATAATGGTTTCTTTTTATTAATATGCCCATTGCTGGTTTTTGTATGTTAGCCCCTTGCTATTAGCAATACCCTTCCCCATTAAAAACCAAAAAAACTAGTTTTAAAATTGTATTTCAGAATTACTTCTGAAATTATAATTTCTGAACAGATAACATTAAAACCACATAGTTCAGAGGCTATATGTAAAAAGAATCAATTTAATTTTTATAACTCTTCTCAGTGTTTTCCAGCAGATTGCCTCAGTCAATAAAAAAGATCATGTGGTCATGAACCACAAAAATTTTACCTGTTGGATTCTACTTTGTCTTCTCTGTACGTACATTCCAAGTGTTTCAGACTTGGATGGAACCTCTCCAGACTTGCATCAAATAGCACAAATGTTGAGGTTTGCTGTTACTGCTTTCTGTTGAACAGTGATGCTTTGTTGGTATGAATAAATAGAACGAGCAACATATCCTAAAGAATTTTGGTGTCCTCTTTATGCAAGTTACTATTTCAATAGATTTGTACCTCCCTGTGGAAGGAATTTGTGCCTCCCTATGGAAAATAAAAATGTCCAGAAATGAGCAGTTCCAAAAAGTGTATATATTTTATAGCTAAATATACATTTATCATATTTCTGTATCTATAGGAAAATATTACTATATGCTAGGGAAATGCCAGTATCCTAGGAAATTTGATACAGAGATAAAAGATTTGGAAAATTTGAATTAAATTCAGAACTTAACAAAATAAATAAGACTTGTGAGAGAGCATGCATGTTTTTTATTTCTGTAGCTGATTGACAGACCTTTTTAACTTCTATATGATTATACAGGATGAACAGAATATTAGTAAAATCATATTTAACAACTATAAAAAGAAAATTCAAGATTGATTAAAATATATTTAAGATCAAATATAAATATCTTGCCATTAGAGAGACTCACTGCATTACAGTTAAGAATATTTAATAGGTTTCTTGTACTCGTAACATCTGAAGTGTTTTTAAAATAAAGAACATTCTTTTAACTGGTACAAACTTAGTGTTTGGGGGTTTTGTTTTTTGTTTGTTTTGTTATTGTTTTTTTCTTTTAGATGAATCACTTGGTGACACCGGTTGTAGGATTTATAGAGGATACATTCCAGGCCACTCCTAATCCAGATGAAGTGAGCAATGTTTTTGTTGTGCCGTTGGAGTACTTCATCAAGCCCTTACATTACAAGACCTTGCCTTATAAAAGCTCATCCGGTTCCTTAAGTTGGGTGCACTGTTTTACATATGATGACCAGGAACATAAAATGTCATTCAGGATATGGGGACTTACTGCACACTTTGCTGTACTTCTTGCTCTTGTAATTTTTGGAGAGACACCCACGTATGAAGTTGATTATGATCTTGACAATTTACTTTCATCTGCTGAGAATAACTTCTGGAATTTATATGCATCCTTACATGAAAGAAAGAAGAGTAACCTGTGACAGACTGGTCTGGCAATTAATTTATATTGAAGGAGCAGAAAGGGTTTTGTTTATTCCCTCTGTACCTATAATTTGATTGAATTTCACACTTCAATTTCTTCTGAATTGGGAACTTATTAAAATTTATTAATATTTTTAAGTTGACAAGCCCTAACTAGCTTCATATAATTTTTAATCTGTTTTAGAGCTGCCAAAAGCACATGGTATTTTTGATGGACTTAATATAAGTTTTGGAGGATCTGTTTCAGTTTCTGCCTTTGTTTTGTGTGATCTAAGACACTTTCTGTGGTTAACTTCTCTGTATAATGAGATAATACTGTTTTATCTGATTTTTGTCAGTTTGAATTAGAATATGGAAATTTTTGGGGGTCTGTCTCATACTGTGTGGCATACTATGTATGGATAACATAATCCATACAGTCTTGTATCTTCAAAGCACTTATCAAACGCACAATAAAAATGTAAAAGGTGGCAAGTGCTTTCACAGTCTTGTTTTGGTTGGGCTTGTGGAGGGAAGAGGGAGGTTTAATGAATTTTATTACTCTTGCTCAGTTTAACATTTCTCACAGGGAAATTCTGCAGGCTATGGAAAACTTGGTATACAGGCAACAGTGCTGAACTTTGCTCCTCAGCATCTTGTTAGCATCACTCACTCAGCTCCTAGAGGGAGTTTCCTTTTCTTAAGGAAAGTGGAGTTGAGTATTCATGAGGACTAAAATGCTGACCTGTAGTTGAGCCTTTCCCAGCCACCCTGGCAGTGTCAGACACGTGCTGTGCTTTGTGCTGTGTTTCCTCACTGCTGGTGAAGCTTATTCATAGTGGTAATGATCTTCACTGCCAAGTGGTTAAGTTTTTAAAAGTACCATCAGCATAGGCTTTGAGATGTAGCTTGCAAATAAACACGTTACCAGTCCTTAAAAAGGGGATCTTTGAGTAACAAGTGCAAGTTGAAAAGCATTCAGTGTCCTTCAGAATCAGGTGCCTTAGTGCTAGTCCTGAATAAAACGAAGAAAACAACTCAGTTGTTCTTCTGGGTATTGGCACTTTGTCTTCCCCCACTCTATTCACTAACAGATACAAGCATTACAAAAAGAGTTGCTGGCAATGCTTGTGAACTGTGCTGTAATTGGGCAGAAGTCAGATTTTTACATTAAGAAGCTTTTGTAGTATACTTGAGATTGTCTGCGACTTTAGCAAAATGCATCCTTTTTACAAATAAGTGTTTCCAAAGTATGGCTTGAATAGCCAGTTATGATTTTCTAGGAAACCCAGTTCTGAGATATTTTTTTAGCTTCCCATAACTGCATCTATAACATTCTTTAGCTGCTGTGATAGGACAGTAGCACTCAGGTACTGAAACAACAGCTTGTGTTTGGTTGGTAACTGCAGCACGACCTTTACTGAAGAAGAGAAAGATGCTGGAGTGTCACTCAGCTGACAAGTGTACCAAAACAAAGCAAGGCTAAAATCTGCAAATCTTGCAAGGATTGAGTTTTCCTTTGCCTCATCTCCCTGCTACAACTGTGCAATACTTATTGTCTCTTTTTAGAGGTAATTCATGGGTAGGTATTCTACTACAGTATTCTGCATGAAATACTCTTTGTGCTGCAGCGTTGAAGAAGTACAAGATTGTCCATCAGAATACTGGGTTGGAAAGGCCTCAAGAATTAGCCTAATTTCCTGCCACCTAAAGGTGGAATTAGATGCATGATATTCTGATCAATATCTAATTTTTTCTTAAGCTTCTCTGGGCACTCTGCAAAGTTTTTAGTTGTAGCAAGGAACAGTTACTCCTCTCCTGTCCATAGCAGAATGGTGAACACCTCATTCCCTTTGATACTTGCTGCACTCCTGAAAACAACATCACTGAAAACAACATCACTAAGGCATCTTTAGACTTAACAGTCAGATTCCCTCAGTTTTTTTTATCAGTCGCATTTTCTATATATTTCTTGTCATTTTTGTTGCTTTCCAGAATCTTCAGTGAACCTTCCTCCTCAATTTTCCCCCCCTATCAAATATGTGATAATCAAATCAGGTCATGTGTGTTAGTTAACCATTTATTTGAGTTGGAAAGGACAGGATTAGTTCACAGCTCCTCTTTATATATCCCATCGTGATTGCTTTTTTTGAAGCAGCATGGTAATACTGACTCATATTCCACTTCTTCCACTAAAATTGCCTCATCCTTTTCTGAAAACACTGCCAGTTGTTCCTGTGTTTGTATTTATTGCATTCTGTATTTGAACAGTTGATTATTGCTACCAAATGTAGCACTTTACATTTGTCCTTACTGAATTACAACCTAATTTTTTCAAAACTAATTGTAATGATCTACTACTGTGTTTTTCAGACATTTCCAGTTTGCTGTTATCCTCAAGTTTAATGAATATATTTTCTGTTTCATTTACAATTTAGAGTAAGCACACTCAGAACAGGCCTCCGCAGAATCTCAATTGGTAATTGCTACTTTGACAGTGAACTGCTAACTACTGCGCGTGCTTTTGTAACCAGCTGTGTAACAGTACTGTTAGTTTCATAACCCTTCTAAGGTTGCACACAGGAACATTAAGCAGGGCTATATCCAAAAGTTGAGGTTTTATAGTTGTCCTTTATACACCAAGCCTGTTACCTGGCCCACAGAGGAAGTAAAACACATTTGTCAAAAACAGTTCATAGGAAGAAGACAGTGGTTGCTACGTATGTCCTCGTTAATTAAAGCACTTCCATAAAGGTTATTTGTTCTGATACCTTCCCAAGAATTGGAGTGACTTGTATGAGTTCTCCAGTTCTTTCATAGGGCACTGTTTGCCTTTTCCCAGCCTCTGTTAGGGAAGAAGATAAAGTTCCCTAAGTTTCAAAGATAATTGCTAATAATGTTGAAACCGGTTCTTAAGAAAACTGCTGTCGCACTGGGACATTCCAAAAGATTTGGCCAGCCTCAACATCGTAGTGTATCTAAACACCATCAAACCTTTCATATTCCTGCATTAGCTCTTTTGGCACCTGTGATAATTTTATTTGCTATATCAGTTGACTTTTTAAGTAAAATGAAAAAAAAAGACCTTTTTTTTTGGCTAAGATGAAATACTAGTAGTAGCCACATTTATGATGAAAAGCTTTATTTTTCATGATTAAACACTTGTGAAATTGTTAAAACATTTTTAAAAGCTTAACTTTAAACTCTTTGTTATTCATATCCTCAGTGGTTTCTCTCAATGCTAATATATGCAGGAAAAGTAACTAATTAAAATAAGAACATTGTTAATTAAAATAGAGCAAAGCAATTAGACCTTTGATTAGTAAATAAAACAGGTACCAAGAGACATAATTACTAACTTACCATCTCCTCTGTTCCCAGCAGACTTTTTTTTTCTACATCTCTCAACCAGATCTGGCACAGAAATTGTACAAGTTGTACAAATTCAAACCTCAGTTTGTTTTTATTTTTCTTTATTCAAACATTATTGTGTGGAACTATAAGGGCAGCAACAACAGTTACAGCTATTGCTCCATTAGCAAATGCAAATCTTGTTGGTTTTTAAACAAAATCAATCATTTGAACTAGTGGAAAAACAGAACTTACAGAGGTCCAACCAAAAATCCTTGAGTGATTTGCAGTAAAACCACTGGGGCTTCATGCTTTGTATTATGCATCCTACATGATTTTACTGCCATTAGTTTTGAAATTTGAGAAGTACTTTCTTAACTCAAAAGACTCATTCTTTATTTAGATATCCATCTGGGATTTGAGTGCCCCAAAACCTCCTTTGAGCACAAAAAGAATAGAAAGAAATTTAAGTGCTTGTTACTAAAACTGCAATTCTGCAAGTCCCACATTTACTAATAGGAAATTGTTTCCTTGGGCATCCACAGATAAAATTTTTCCACAGTTCCTGAGGCAGAAACTAGAACATGAGTCCCTCCAACAACCTGGGCAGCCCTCTGAATCAATCCGTGTCATGTTTGTAGTCTCTTTCCTACCTTCAGGAGGTAAGGAGGGGAGAGTGCTCCAAGCAGAATATCATGAAGTCTGAAGATACAGGCATTTTTCAGGATACTGCCTCTAAAGTATGAGAGAACTGAAAGTGTGTAACCCTCACTCCTCCTGGGTAAGTGCCCTGTGTAGTTAAATACTGCATTAAAGGGAAGTTGCAGCTGCTCTGCACCTCATGTTTTTAAAAGGAGAGCATGACTGTGCCTTGTTTGTGTGAGATCAAACTCTTGAAAAGGCAGATCCTCCAGGGAGATGAATCTTTCCCTGGGCCTTGGATTGCAGGGAAGCTGTGTAAACTTAAAAGGGAAAAGATCTAGCAAATGTGCTGTTCTGAGAATTTCCTATTGGAAAATGCTGTATTCTGCCCTTAAACTGGTTCCCAGCCTAGGACAATGAGTCCACCCTTCTATTGTACACAGAAGTTGAAGCGTCTATAAAAGGCCCAGTTTTCTGTTCAGTGGGCCAGGTGCTTTTGCAGTTTGACACTGCGGTGTTACAGTGCCTCAGTTCCTTTTCAGATCTGTCTTTAAAGTCATGTAACAAAGCGCTTGCTGAAACCTGGATGTCCCCATGTTCTCTCTTACTATTCCTGTGTTATACCTGAGTATTATTAAAATATATCTTTTTCTACTTTTATTTTGAATGTGGTGATTTTAAAGGACTGTGTTACTGGAATTATTGATTGCAAATGCATTTTTGCCTTGTTTGTTTTAAGTATGGTATGTTAATATAACTTCCAATCTGAAAAGGTCTTTTATGCATATGTATTTACTCTTTGCACTTTTTCTTACAAACTAATCATCAAGGCCATTGCTCAGTTGAAAAAAGGTATTAAAAATATATTCCAGATTCCATTCTATGGGATAAGTGATGCTGGAGTGACAATAAAATGAGTGCAAAGGCTTGTATCAGAACAAGGAAATTACTGATATGATATAAAATTAACTAAAAATAAATGGCATACCATTTAACGTGAGTTAGTCATTCTTTTAGCTACTCTGCAGTGATTTAGCATTTAACATTTCTATACTTTTGAGTGCTCGAATAATCAGGCTTTTGGTATTTAACGTTTATGTGAACATTTAATATTATATATATTTGATATGTAAATTGGTATTTAACAATTGTAATATAAAAATTAATGAAAATTACTTTAAAAATATATATAGTGTATATAGTTTACAGCACTTCTGTGTGGGGAGAAAACATAAAATGTACATTTCATTTCCAGAAGTTCAATGTATGCTGCTCAGTTAAAATGCACATCACTTTTCCATAGAGTTCATGCAGGGTTAAGGCAGTTAAACTTAGATAAGAATGTAAATACTCAGAAAGTATATTACTTCTATTCAGGCTATGCCTAAATTATATATATAAAAAATAGAAAATCTGGAGATGTTTTTGTCTTTCAAGAAAGACCTCATGTGACTGCTTACATGTCAATATGTATGTGATGTACCTACAGTGTTTCTTTTTTTTA